AGAGGTTCGAAGGCGATCAGATACCGCCCTAGTTCCAACCATAAACGATGCCAACTAGCGATCCGCCGGCGTTATTCCCATGACCCGGCGGGCAGCTTCCGGGAAACCAAAGTCTTTGGGTTCCGGGGGAAGTATGGTTGCAAAGCTGAAACTTAAAGGAATTGACGGAAGGGCACCACCAGGAGTGGAGCCTGCGGCTTAATTTGACTCAACACGGGAAACCTCACCAGGCCCAGACACCGGAAGGATTGACAGATTGAGAGCTCTTTCTCGATTCGGTGGGTGGTGGTATGGTCGCTCTAGTTGGTGGTTGATTTGTCTGGTTAATCTCGATAATCTAACGAGACTCTGGCCTACTAAGAAGCCGACGGATCTCCAGAAAATGGTGTCCAGTTCTAACTTCTTCTTAGAGGGATATGCAATTCTAGCCAAGACGAGATTAAGCAATAACAGGTCTGTGATGCTCCTTAGATGTTCTGGGTCGCACGCTGCTACACTGAAGGGATCAACGAAGTTTTCCTCCGAGAGGAGCGGTAAACCGGTTCAAAGCCTTTCTGATAGGGATTGGGGGCTTGCAATTTCCCATGAACGAGGAATTCCCAGTAAGTGCAAGTCATCAGCTTGCGCTGACTACGTCCCTGCCCTTTGTACACACCGCCCGTCGCTACTACCGATTGAATGATTTAGTGAGGCCTTCGGACTGGCGCTCTTGGATTGTCGGCCCCGTTGCCCGCGAGGGTTTTCTGGGGTCGTCGCCTCGAGCTGACGGAAAGATGTCCAAACTTGATCATTTAGAGGAAGTAAAAGTCGTAACAAGGTTTCCGTAGGTGAACCTGCGGAAGGATCATTAACAGAGAGAAAGAGAACGGGGCGCTCTTAAAACTACTACTCTCCTGATTTGGGCGGTCTCGGGCTCTGCTCTGGCAACTCCAGCAGCGAAAGAGGACAATCCCGGCCCCCGCACCAAAAATAGGTACCACGCTGTAGGGGGACCACACTCGGGCGAGAGCGCGAAGACAGGAGGAGGAGGACGGACGGGGCTTTGGACGGCTGCCCGTCCATTCCTTACTACCGGCGAATAAGCCTCTTGACCCAAAAAGAGTGAAATTCAAGTGACAACAACAACAAGCCGTCCGGCCAAACCCAAACCACAAACTTGGGCTATGTCTGTCAAACCCTTTCATTGAGACTCGACCTGTGATGGTTAGTCGCAAAAAGACCAAATGGCAAATACACAACTCTTAACGGGAGATCACTCGGCTCGTGGGTCGATGAAGACCTCAGCAAACTGCGTGTCGGTATGTGAATCGCAAGAATACCAGATACATCGACAAGTTGAACGCATATTGCGGCGGCGGCAGCCATATGAGCTTGTCGCCGCCACTCCTCTACGAGGGTCGGAAATATACATCCATCGGTTGCTGCGAGTTCGGTGCCTGCTGACTGTCTCCCGGACACGAGGGTAACCCGAACCGAGCTTCCGCCTTGGGGTTTAATCGCCCGCGCCTTGCGCGAGGCGTGCCCTTAAAAACAAGCAAGCCTATCACTAGCAAGTCCATGGACTTGGCGCACCCACATTCAACCACAACAAAGCGACAGTTGTCGCCCTCGCAAATAACTGGAGGCGGCGCTCTTTTGCCTGCTGTCCACAGAGACACGAATGGCCGTCGGCCGCTCATGGCTGATGCTGCACATGTTCTAAGAGGCACTCCATCCCACGAAGAGGAAACGAAACCGGGTCGGATATCTTTTAAGTAAGCCCCGCCGGAATTTCGTCTATCACCTCGAAAAGAGTGCTTGGCATGCATTGCAGTGGAACCTAAATTGATGAGTGCGCCTGGGCCCGCAGTCTACCATGTAGTGGTGCAGGCAGAGAGATGAGAATGCTTGGGTGACGCCGTGCTCTTCCTCACGCGCTCCTCCACCCTCTCCCACGGTCAGACGCGGTGTGGGCGTTCTCTTTGAGAGTTCGCCACGAGTCCACGTCTATCTCATGACTGGGAGGGAGGCAGGGGAGTTCTCTCTAAACGCGTTAAAGACGGTGTTGCGCCTCATAACGGCGCTCGCCGGGATAGAGCACTAGTTCTGCAGCCGGAAAGGCCGCTCACGCCAATTAATACTGCGACTCTCGCTCTCTTTCTCCGGATAAACAAGTGCCACTGCTGTGGCATGCGGGAACGGGGAAAGAGGTCAAAGTTTAAGCGGCAAAGGTGCGGCCGAGTAAGGGCGGAACACGAGCGTATATGCATTAAAACTGTGTGTGTATATGACTCTGCGAGAGATGTTCTGCTGGAACACTTTTCCTATTGGCTATTTACCACTCAATGAGAAGGAACGGAGTCAGGGGTGGGAGTGCCGGCGCCATGGCCGCTGGTACCCCCGCGACAAGCCCCTCAAACCTTCCTGCCTGGTAATGTCGGTGGTGAAGAAAGTCGGTGGCAGAGCGTCTTCCGCTTCGTGGTTGGGGAACTTGTTCCCCCTAAGGATGATGAGACCACGA